TCAGCAAAATAAAATTTAAAAGATTTACGGAAAAAAGACTAAAAACATTACAGCCCCGCCCTTGAATTCCACAAATAAACGGAAACCCTAGAATTCCTGAATTTCCATTAAAACGCTAACTTTCGGTAAAACATAAAAGCAAACTTACTTACCTGCTGATATTGAGGCAACGAGTAAACGGTAGGGGGAGCAGGATAAACAGGTAGAGCCACAGATGGAACGGGTGGCGGAGGAGCCGCGCCAATGTACGGGACAGGCGCTGGAGTTTGTTGGAGGTGGAACGGCGTCGGAAAAAAGGAGGCGGAGGCCGTGGGCGCTGCGTAAGTATATTGGGAGGATGATGAAGAGGAGGCGGCCGCAGTGGAAGGCACCATCGACATGGCGGAACCTGATCAAACGACGGGTTTCAGTTAAATCTTGACGTGCTTCGATTCTGTTCTTGTCGAGAAACTTCGCAATTACAAAGATTTCAATTTTGGGGTTGAAAATTTGTAGAATAGTGATTGATGGGAAAATGTGGAAAAGTTTTAGATTTGTGTGTAATATTATTTTATTTGAGAATGTGTGATTGAGATGAAGAGGGAGAAAAAATTAATGTAATGGAATGAGAAAAAATGGGGCTCAAACGGGGGTATATATATATAATAAAGCGGTAATTACGTGGAATCGTACTTTTTTTAAACTTCTAAAATCAGATTGAAAATTTAATATTTGCAAAATCGAATATTTTATTTTAATTAAAATTTTTATAAAATAAATATGCTGAAATTAATCCCTAATTAAATCTCACCTCTCGACCCCCTCTCTCTCCCTCTATTCTTACAATTCTCTCTATCACAAAAAAGCATAAGAGATCGCCGCCGACGAATACGCATGAACTATCATTGCCTGTCGGAGATCACCGCCGACGAAGACACTCTCAAGCACGAGAAGCTGCTGCGTGCAGCTTTGCACAGTTCGACGGTGGATTTCGAGGCGGAGGTGGTGGATTTCGAGGCGGAGGCGGTGGATCTGATGGAATTACTAATTTTCAGTTTAGGCGAGCATGTTTGTTTGGATAAATGAGTAGATGAGTGCCAATGGATAGTTGCTTTCTCTCCACCTCAACTCCACCCATTTCTGGCAGCCGCTTCTTTCCACCAATTTCACTTTTGTCTGTCCACCACCATTCACGCACCCACACTACCACGCCTCCCATTTTCAGCAACCACAGGAACAGACAATGAAGTAAATGAAATTGTTAATTATGTTGTAGAGTCACTGCCATGCCTCCCATCTTCATCGACTCCGAACACCCACTGCCACCGCGAAGAACTTATACTCACTCCCTCTGGGTCCTCAATAAGGTCAATGCAGTAAATGAAATTGTTAATTATGTTGTAGAGCCTGCTATTTTTCGTGCAATTGCATTTTATTTGTATCTTATTGTGAGATTTTTGTGACGATTTGTAGTATTCGGTGGATGATGATGCGGCGAATAAGCTCAAGGGAATTTGTGGCATTTGATAGTCAGCCTTGCACACCAAGTGTTTGCTTTTATTCTCAGTAAACTAACAGGGACTCTTTTATTCACGGGACATTTATTTTGTGCGAGGTTTATTGATGACTCTGATTATTGTGGAGATAGAGGTGTTGTGCCGTGGCGATCGTTGTGGTGTATGTGACCAACTATTTAGATTAACTGTGATCTTAAAAATTGGACAATTTGTGATTAAAAATTAACATGTGATTAATAAATTTGAAAATATGTGATTAAACAAACAATCATGATGCGTTGTGACTTGTGATTTGGCCTGTGACTTGATTTATGACTTGTGACCTAGCATGTGACTTGTGGTCGGAATGTAATTTTCGAAGATTTTTAGATTTAAGGACAGTGAACTTTCAGCATTAATTCCGACCACTACAATTGATGAAATTGGGAGTGGTTGAGTGATAATTGAAGGGTGAATTGGAGGGCTGTTGACCCATGTCAACGTCCAGAGGCTTGGGTGGTCGGATACTGCCAGAATTTGCACGCATTTGAGCTGAAAAAGGCAAAAAATCTCCACTTTTTTGGATTGATTTGCATTTTAAAAAAAGTTTAGAAGTAAATTGCAATTTATTCTTTATTTTTCTGTTCTTTTTTGTTTTATTTATATAGGATGGTATAATGGTGATTTTATATTAAAATTGGTAAAAAGGACGTTTAGTAGAAAGATTTTGCGCCAAAAAACGAAAGGTATGGACGTTTTCCTCAAAAACCTTAAAACGTAGGGACGTTTTGCGCCAATTACCCCTTTTTTATTAATGAAGTTGAATCAAACTTAGGATACAATGCTTATTTTACTCAAAAGACATGTTAACAATTAAAATGACAATTTTCATTACAAAAAATCTCACACTCATACATTCGAGAGATATGGGACGTACTAGAAATCAAAAGTTTGGGACTCGTTGTCAAAAGGTTCAAAGGTACCCCTAGTGCTATTTAATCGAAATTTATATATAATAATAATAATAATAATTAAAGTTTGATAATCATGGTGACAATAAGTCGAAAGTTCAAGATGAAACAAGTTAGCCTCCGTTGTGAAGAATTTATAAATTGATAGAAATGAGTGATAAATGAGTGAATAATAGTTATGGATCTATGGAAATGTGTGATTGAAAATAAAGTTTGATCTTTTATAAATGATTTATGAGTATTGCCAAACGGAGACTTAAAGTTCGATTGTCCTAGTGACACTAAATGGAAAGCACAATCACCATATGTGAAATTAATCCTCGTGAATTTAGATAAATAGAATTAATCATATTTTAAACGACAAATAAATATCTAATGTATCACTTAACATAACTTCTCCGACAAATGAGAAAAAAAGATATTTGTTAACAAAAATGCTGGACGTCCAAGAGCAACTGGCCCCTCCTTATAGGTGGGGAGAGATGGGTAATCACTATTTTGATTTCAGAAAAAACTCTATATATCAATGTACTGCTTCTTTTACACGCACATCTGCATTGCATAATGGAGAATGCCAATAGTTACAATTCATTAAAAATATATAGAATTACTTGCCGTATTAGGCACTAATCTAATTTTAATGTCTAATTAGGTCGGGAAATTATTCAAATTTAAGAACGGAAGCTTGTTGCTTTTTCTTTCCCATGATTAATTGAAGCCATAGGGCTCTATCCATTTATTCATTCGACCCAACTCCTTTTTTTATTTTTGTTTCGATCCAAGAATTCCAGCATGATTTTGTACCGATCCGATAAAAATGAAATCGATCTCCCCCCACCTATAGGAGGGGGTAAGCTGCTCCTGAACGTCCAGCAAAGTCCTATTTGTTAATATTCTATTTGTACCATATGTGTCATTTTCCACTGCTTTTAATTACTTTTAGACAGGATTCAAGTACACGACTAAACTATGCAGTATCATTATCCTATTTTCTGATCCGTGGTGTCGATACAATAAGAATAAATCTGCAGGAATCCCACACATTTTGCACAGGAAGACGCTTTTTCCTGTACTTATAGCATTGTTCATACAATAATAGTTAGCTCCATACCCAACCACATAAAGAAAAGAGAAAATTACCTAAAAACCTACTTTTAAAGTTTCAATTTCAAAAAATAGGTGGATTAATTTTTATTTCACAAATCAGGTGATAATTAAATTTTAATAATTTTAATTAATAAAAATTTAATTAAACATAATCTCTACATATTCACCTCACCTAACCCTCATCCCCACGCACCATTCATTTCAAAATCTCACCCACCATTCTCTCTCTCTCATCTCTTCTCACCGACCGACAGCCATCGTGGAGTAGCGACGTCGGTTCCGTCTACGTCGCCGCCGCCGCCAACATCGGACAAAACGCCTCCCCCACCGTGCTCAAGGCACCACCATCGAGCAATGTCGCTCTGAAGAAGCAGCGCGGCGACAACCACCACGCGAACGTTGTGAAGACGGAACCACCACTGAGCGCCATCTGTTGCAGCCCGTCACTCCGAGACGTCGAAGGGCCACTGTCACTTCGAACAGCCCCACGAAGGGCCACCGCACGCAAGGTCGCTTCTCTATCTGCGCAACGCCGAGGCGATGTCGAATTGTGGGTTGTGATTTGTAGTTGAGCGCTGGTGATGTCTGTAGTTTGTGGTTTTAGGTGATGAGCTTCGTTGCTGGGGTTTTCCGGCGATTGTAGTTTTGTGATTTGTGTGTGGTTGTGATGGCGAGGTGGGTTGGTAGCGATGTTTGTGGCTGGTGGAGTGTGGGAGGAGTGTTTGTGACTGCTGGGGTTTTTTCTCTCTCTCATCTGTTTGTGTGGTGGTGTATCGTGGTGGTCGTGGTTTTTAAAAAGTAAACTGCATCCAGTGATCGTTTGTAATTGTTTGTGATCGTTTGTGACCATTTGTGCCCTTTTGTGAATGGTGAATTGTGACCGACTGTGATTTGTGAATTGTGACTCGTGGTGACCAATTGTTGTAAAAAAATTCTGAAAAAATTTGGAAGTTGGCCGTCGGAACAGGCGTCAGGGTTGATCGTCAGAGAGTTACCGGAGCAGCCACCGGAATAATAGTCGGAACAGTCGCCGGACCATCGCCGGAGCGGTGCCCGAGATGAAGAGAAGGTGGTGTAGTGAGGTGATGGGGGTGTGTGAGGTGTCATGGGGTGTAAATAATTAATATATATTATATTATAATTTAATATTTAATAAATCTATTTACCACCTGATTTTTGAAATAATTGGACAAATTTGTTAGTTTTGAAAAGTAATTCTTATATGTAGGTTTTGTGTATTGTTCCCTAAAGAAAACCAAGTTATCATTCAAACTATTAGTAGTTTACAAACATTTGTTTTTATTGAATCCAGAAAAATAGGAAAAAATAATCACAAGAATACCGAAGATTTTATTCAGTACACTGGGATATGGATGGGTGGATATGATTGGGAGACATTTAACCAGCATAATTATTTAGCAGGTAAGTGTCTCGCAACGTGTTGAACTTACCAACTACTCTTATGTACAGTAAACCTGTTAAACTGGCAATCTTCAACCATATTGTCCAGTATCTTGATTGTAAGTCGTGAATTCTCCAAAGCTTCTATAATTATGATCTTCTGCACCACAAAAGTAAATCACAACCTCAGGATAATTCAAGGGAACTCGTTAGAGATGCATCATCAAGAATCAGACCTCGACAAAAATGGAATAAAATCTCATTACAGATCTTTATTATTTCTTTTATAGATTCAGACCATAGCGACCATTTCTGCATGATGCAAAAGATAACGGCAACATCTTACACTACAAGACATTGAAACAAGCTCCAATACTTTTTGATTCAATAGATCACGCTCTAAGTTGAGAATTAAAATTTTCACAAGAAATATGTAAGGAATGTACACCAACAACTTGATATCAGCATGCTTGGCTAAACTTGAAAGTTTTATAGTATATGTTGTTTTTCTTATTTTGCCAGAACTGTAGGCTATTATTTTAAACTATGTAACTTATTTCCAACATTGAGCAGCAAAACATTATTTAATTTATAGCAAGTTTAGTTACTTAAAAAATATTTTTTAAGCTTAGCCAAACATGCACTATTTGTCTAAGACCTTAAGTAGCGAAAAGGTTATTCCTATGGTCATAAGCTACTCAATCAACATCATGATGCAGCAAGGTACATAAAGCAAATGAATATAGGGCAGCGACTGGAAAGAAGTGTAAAGGAGGATGTCATGTGGTTTTTGTTCAAGGATCAAATAACAAAAGAAAGGGGAAGGAAGAGGGCAGAAGAATAGAATTTTGGGAGGAGAAAGAAGAATTGGGAGAGAGAATTTCCATGTAAAAACCTATGAATCATGCTACAGTACCAGATGCCTTGACATAATCATTGACATAATGCTACATGACATTCCATTATTGGACTCAATCAACTTTTCCATCAAATGCTGTCACCTCAGATTATGTCACTGCATCAGTTAAATTTCTTCTCACAAAGTGGCAAAATCCAAAACCTACTCTTACTTATACTTGCAATCCCTCGTAAACAATGAAAGCTACCAAAATAATAGGAAGGAAAATTACATAATTCAAAACAGATAACTATGGAAAGAAATAAGTAAAACCAATAAAAAAAACCTTCCAAAAATATTTCTATTTTCCTGCATAAAGTGAATATCAAGATTATGGGAAGTCTTCAATAATATCTCTAAGGATCTCTATCACACCATTCTTGTGTAGTGTTGGGGGAATTAGGTCTGACATGTTTAACACAAACTATTTGAGTTGGTTCTGAGCACAACCTGGTTCCAATTCCCTCTCATTCACATTATAGGGCTACCAAGTTCCTAATTATCAGCATCATCTAATCTCTTCAAGTTACCATTCAACATTCCGCCCAAATGACTAAGTGTGTTTGGCTAAGTTTTAAAAATAAGTAACTCCTTACTATCAAAATAAGTATCTTATTCTCAACTTTAACCAATAACAACATACCTATTTTAGAACTAAGAAAACTTTATAAGCTTAGTCAAGCATGTTGTAAAACACCATCATCATGTGATCATTCATCGCTCCAGTAATCTACTTCCCCCTCTCCATCCTCGAGGCTTCTTGATAAACATTGATTACATTCCCACATTAATACCAATCCGATATTTTAAGCAGCATCTTAATTCTTTGATATGTTGAGGGGAAATGACCTTGAGAGACACAAAAGTCAATCTTTAAAGTGATTTTGCAAAAATTATGCTAACACCTCCTCTGTGTAAATGAGCCATTACACTTCCGAAAAAATAATTGATTATTACTTCCAATCTAGAAGTGTCTTTGTTAAGAGTTTAATGGTTCTTTATTACACAGCACTTCTACATGATTCCACTAATATAGATTTGGGGTCGGAAACTAAATAGTTACATTGTTCAACGCCTTTTAGGTTTTCATTGAACACATCTTCTCACACTTATGAACTAAGACCAATCATTTAATGTAGATGTAAAAGAGTACCATTTTCTTATTGGACAACGCCAGCAATTGACATTAAACAAATGTCTAGCATCAGCTATAGATATCAACTCAAGGAGTCAAACCAGTGTGTTTATTTTTACATATGCTACATAATATCCTCTCCCTGAGTTTAATACTATCTACATGCTTCTAATCTCTTTAGGGTTGCATGTATCATATTGCAAATATAAATGTATCTCGATTCTCACCTCAGTGGAACAAAAGAAATTAAAGAACTCTCTGATATAATTTCAGCCAATCAGAAATAAATAATTTCACATATTTGGAAAGAATGAAAGTTCACCACTAAGAGGAATTCTGGGCGTTTATAGTGTTGTAATATCGTGTGAAGCGGCCTCGATTTGCAGGCTTTGGCTTAACGGTTTTTTTCCGCAGACCAAAAATCTCTTGAACCAGAGGTACATGCACCAGCACTAGCTTCCAGGCCAAAAACCAACCTACACATGGGAAGGGGAGAAATTTCTCAAATTAAACATATATTCAGCAACCCAGAACAAGAAACACTCAGAAAAGTACAAGAAATAGCCCCTACTTTTAACAACCCAGATCACGAAACATCAAATAATTGACCTAATTTAAATTACCCAGATCAAGAAATAACAATAAAAGTACTTCGTTAGTTAGGAATTCAACAATCCAGATCACGAAACATCGCAAAAATTCACTTATTTGATGATTGTTCAGGAACCCATATCAACACATGGAAACCCATAACCAGAAGTATCGAGATAATTCCGTAAATGAAAATTTATTAGCAATTTCAATCAAGAAACTACAGATACATATAATACCAACTAATTCGTATTTACGATCATATATATGGCATAGAGAGAAACAAACCGACGAAGAGTAAGGAGAGTGCAAAAGAGACGGCAAGAAGGGGTCGAAGGAAGAGAAACATTAAATAGTCCCGATAGGAGAAGGGGAACTGTGAAGAAGAATAGTACTCCATTGATTATGTGCAAACCGGTAGAATTGTCGACTCTCCGATAAGAGAGTTTTCTTAAAGCCTCTGGTTTTGGGATTTCTGCATAAATGGTCCCTAACCTATGGCCTGTGTGCGGTTTCAATCATTCCTATTCCTGAGATTTGAAGTCCTCAAACTATTGTTTTTTGTGCGCAAATGATCGTTTCCATTTTTTTGACGATTATTAAAAGGTCAATTTTTATATCAAAATACTACTATACATAGTGATGGTTGTGAGTCGAACCGAGCTGGCCCATGAGCTTGGCCTAGGGTTTGGTTGACCCTAAATCTGACGAGGAGTGATGCTTCCACACCCTACATTTTTCTAGCAAAGAATTTCATTAAAAACCACCTTTCACACAACTACGAAGAGTGTGTAACACTTTTAAGTTAGAAAAAAGATCTCGTCAAAAATGTCTTTTGTGAGGTTTGAAATTCCTGTAGAACCATGTAAACTACATAGTCCTTTGTCAACTATAGTCATCTTCTTTGCATCAAATTCAGTTCCTTCTAAAATATAGTTCAAACTTTTGTGATCAGTATATATTTGGTACTTTTTATCATAAATGTAATGTTTCCAAACGTCAATACCAACACCATTGCAGCCAACTCCAAGTCAATCTTTGTTAGTTTAATTCATTCTTCTTCAATTGTTTTCAAGAACATGCTATAACCATCGGATTATGCACTAGAACACAACCCAAGCCCTATAAATTACAAACTTTTCATATGGAGATGGAAGAGTAAGTATAGGGACAGAAGCGACATAAACTACTCTATCTTTTTGAAGTCTTGAAAACTCTTTCACATCTCTCAATTCACCTAAATTTAGAGTTCTTTCGAGTTAAAATGCTCAAAGTAAGAGAACCTTTGGAGATATTCTCTGCAAATTGATGGTAATACTTCACTAGCTCAAATAAACTTCGTACTCATGTCATATGAGTAGGGCGTACCCATTTCATTACTTCTTCGATTTTTAGAGGATCTACAAAATGTTTTCTTGTGAGATAACATTGCCTAGAAATACAATTCCGTCAAAACAAAATTCACATTTGTTGTACTTAGCATACAATTGTTTATTTTGCAAACAAATATAATCTTCAAGTGCTCAACATTTTCATACGAGAATAAACTAATACATTATCAATAAAGACAATCACAAATTTGCTTAAGTATAAGTGAAGCACTCTGTTCATAAGATCAATAAATGTTCTCAGGACATTAGTTAATCCAAATGAAATCACAAGACGGTCATAATAATCATACCGCAATCTAAAAGCAGTTTTCAGTACATCGACATCTCCATTTTTGAGTTGTCGGTACCTCAATGCAAGTGAATCTTAGAAAATATTATGTGTAATTTAGAAGAATCTATTTGCTACTTCAATCGATTGTAAATTATTGTCTTTCTTAGAATAGAAAAACTAGACTTGCATAATGATAATATGTTATAAATTAGAGAGAATAAGAGAAGATATTAGAGTGAATCAACACTTAAAATGTATTACATTGAGACCAAATACCCCATATTTATAGGTAGAACCAATCCATAGAAAATTATATTGAATCTAATATAAAATTTCTTCCTTCATATTTACAAGAATAGTGGACACTAGTACAGTTTTATCGTGTGCTATATACACACAAATGTCTCTTGAAATTTCAGAAAGCACCTCACTTTTGCTCTATCTCTCACTTCACTCATACTGCACTATTTCTCACTCTTATACATGCAACAAACATATATGTGTGTCTTAAAGTCGTCGGTGGACGTCCGTGATTAATCTTTGTGGACAATTCTAGCGTGATACTAATTGCCAAAACCAATTCTAGAATCTCCTAAACATTTGGGCAGCAAGAAATATGGTGCACTAGAAAATTCTGGAATTTATGTTTGGTGGTGATTTTCAATTCTCCCATTCATCATCGAGTTTTTAGTTTGACTCTTTTCTTTTAGTCACACCCAGTTGTGTTTACGTCTACTATTTTAAATATATATTGCTCTTTCATACTTTCCTCTTCATCTATTTGTAGGTTAGCATATCTAGTATTTGATTTCTCATGTCTGTTTGACTTTCTTATTTGTAGTTGTGAATTTGTACATACATCAATCTCTTCTGGCTGACTTCATTTAGCGCTTGTTAGAGTCCCATTTTTTTTTTAAAAAAATGTATATTGGAATAGTGATTTGATGGGGAATGTATAGTTAAAAAATAAGGAAAAGTTATTGATGTGATGAAAAATATTATTTTATATAAAAATGTCTGATTTAAAATGATTAGAGTACGTGCATTGTAGAGCCTTGTTTGAGCCCCATCTTTTTTTTTTCTTTGTCCAAAATACATTTTGGAATAGTATTTTGATGGAGAATGTGTAGTTAAAAAATAAGGAAAAGTTTTGGGTTTGCATGTAATATAATTTTATTGAAAAATGTGTGATTGAAAATAAGAAAGAAAAATATATTTTTGAAATAATGGGTATCAAACAAGAGCTTAATGTTTTTTGGTACACATCATTTTGCACAGGACTCTGCGTTGTTCTTGTAAACTCTTCGTTATCACTTAACACTTAAAGATTTCTAGATTCCTCATGACTTTGTGTTGTTATTTTTGGATGCTCTTGTTCATTGATTAACTCCATCACATCTTGTGTTATCTCGAGTTTCTGTCTTACTTCGTTGATTTATTCAGGGATCTTCTCCACTAACTTGTCATGAATCATCATTAAATATGTTAGTTCTATTTCCTGTAATGTTTGTTAAGAATATGCTTCTTTAAACACTTTTATTTCTTTCAAGACTAGTAGTTCCTTCCTCTACAGAGTCTACCAAGAAGACTCGTTATGAAAAACGATATTGTCTCTTAAGTCATCAATCTAGTCATCTTCGTAATTCATTTGTTCAGGGACAACCACTACTAGCACTGATTAGTAATTTAAGCTTGAATTGGATTTCTTCTCTCGAGTTTGCTTGATTACTATTGTGGATGGCTCAACATCTCATTCTTTTTTATTATTGTATTTCTTTTGCTCGTTGGAGGTTGCTACACTACCTTCTGCTTGTTCTTTTTTAAACCAGCAATCTCTAGAACAATAACCTTATTTTTCACATATAAAGCACGAGTTGTTAGTTCGTTGATATCTTTTAGACGACTGGCCTCTCTTGTTGCAATTTTGTTGGGCTTCCCTTGTTTGATAATTTCCATCAAACCGTCCTTTAGATTTACTTTCTTTTAGTTCTTAATTATTATTATTATTTTGTTGACGAGATGGACATTTTCTTTTGTAGTTGAATGATGTATGTTCCTCTTCTTCTTTAATGAAACATATAATATTTGTTTGTTCAAGAATTATGTTCGGCCAATAATTTTTTAAGATTGATCAAAGAAGGTCGCTATGTCCAACCTCATACTACGACGATAAAGCCTTTAAATTCAGGTCTCCATGTATAATTATTCTTCTAATTCTAGCTTTTGAAATTTTTTCGTAGCGCTTAATTCAAAAATTTCATGACAGAAAGCTTTGTTAAAATACCGACTTAAAATCATTTCTCCTTTAGCGATAGAAGTAGTTATTTTTCTAAAAGTTGCAATCTCAAGTCATATTTCTTTACGAATGGTACGACAAAAGTATCTCATGCTTCTTTTGGTGTATTTTTGTCCCTTGTATATTTCAACAATTCCTCATTAGTTGATGTCTTTGTCACATAGCATGCTTTAATATTCCATTTCTTCATAGCCTCTGCGTCCCAAAAATCTTGCCTTCGAAGATACAACTTCATGCATGTCTGTCATGCGGTGTAATTTTGATTATTGAGCTTCTTAATTCCACTTACCATGTGTATGGTGTCCAACATGAATTGGCAGCTTGGGCCGCCCGTGGCTTGGCTTTGAAAAGCTAAACATAGTTACTGCATGTGCATCTTTATGTTATCCTTTCTGCATGTGTGTAGTTGCTTAATTCCGTTGCATGATTATATGTTACATTTCAATATGTTTATATGTGCATTTGCATGAATTTAATAGCAATTTGATNAAGAAACTCTTGGACAATTTAATTGCATTGCACAAGGCACTAATCCCTCACTCCAATATTTTACTATTTACTCAAAAATGGGATAAGACTTCGTTGCTCTAACCACTAAACCGCAACGCACTTTCTCTCTAATTCTATCAAATTCACTCAATCCTCTTATCACTCCACTAACTCCTCGTGCAATCTCTTTCTCACTCTTTTTACTCTTATACACTGCAGTTGAGTGGTTGTACAATGAATTTTTCCCCCATTTTTGGGTAAATATTAAAATATTGGAGTGAGGGATTAGTGCCTCGCGCAATGCAATTAAAACTGTACAAGAGTTTCTTTTTAATAAGTAAAATTAATTTTTTTTGTTGCTTAAATTCTACAAATTAGTCATCCATAAATATTTTTAATTTACGAGATACAATAATTAATAGTTGTATCTTTTTAATTGACACACATAATAATTCAAAATTTAATAATGTAAATAATAACATAGAAATACTTTTTCTTTTGTCAATACTAGTAATCATTAATATATATATAAAAAAAAATTTGTTGCCGAGCACGCACAGGTAGTTGATAATCCAACTGAAATTGTTAATCATGACAATTAAGCAAATTATGTAATTATCTCTGTTTAGTCCAAATGGAATGATTTTTGTCACTGCCGACAATTTATTTTGTCCAAATGGACGGCCGGGGCCATATGCTTTGGAATAATGTTATTTAGCTCCATTGAAACTGTAACTCTCGTCTTAGATGATAGGTTAAATATAATATGAAATTAAATGACTCATTTAATTGTATTTATCATTTATTGTCACATTAGTACCATAGACTAAAGTTATAACCTCGGATGGACTAAAAGGCACTAATCTATGTTTTGTCCCCGTACACTCCAATATGTTGATCCATGGCATGATAGAGATTGAATTTTCTCGATACAAAGTGGGTTAGGCCAAGTT